AGCATCATACTTTAAAAGATAAAATAATTTTTAGACAATTTTTTAAAGATTTATTTATTTATTAATTACATATACAGTGTTCTGCCAGAAGAGGGCACCAGATTGAATTGTAGATGGTTGCGAGCTACCATGTGGTTGCTGGGAATAGAACTCAGGACCCCTGGAAGAGCAGTCGGTGCTCTTAACCTCTGAGCCACCTCTCCAGCCCCCTAGATAATTTATTTATTGTGTGTATAGTGTTCTAGCTGCATGTGTCCCTGCAGGTCAGAAGAAGGCATCAGATCTCACTACAGATAGCTATGAGCCACCATGTGGTTGCTGGGGATTGAACTCAGGACCTCTGAAAGAGCAGCCAGTGCTCTGAACCTCTGAGCCATCTCTCCAGCCCAATAAAATAATTTTTAAAAGCAGTTGGAGAAGGGGCTTAGCCAACTGTGAAAGGGAACTGAGAATTTTCAGTCAAGGTATCGAACCTGAGTGACGATGGCTTTGTGAAACACTTTACCACAGCCCAGCCCCTGCATTACATTCTCTGCCTGAAATACATTTTTCTGTCTTCCTGACTGGACTCCGACCAGTACAGCTGTAGCTGATTGCAATCCAACGCTTTAAACAGTGATGGATTGATTGTACAGAAGGCATATTACTATCACTATTAATCAGGACCTGTTGTTTTACTGTTAGTCACATGACCTGCCACTAATGACTCCATCTGCTGCCCATCTTCATCTCTCTCTCTCTCTCTCTCTCTCTCTCTCTCTCTCTCTCTCTCTCTCTCTCTCTCTCCTCCCTTCCCCTTGGAGGCAGCGATTGCATCTCACGAACTTTGTCTCCCAGCGTCCAAACCCAGTGCTTGCTTTAACGACGCTATGATTAATCACAAGGCCTTGGAGAGCAAATCAATCGGATTCTTTCACGCTGGCTTCAGTTCAGGCTGGAGCCCTTCACAGTCCCAACCCTGACTGGGACAAGACAGGGATTCTCTGTGTAGCCCTGGCTATCCTGGAACTCTGTAGACCAGATTATCCTTGAAGTCAGAGATCCACCTGCCTCTGGCTCCAACGCATTGGGGACTAAAGGCGTGGGCCACCGCCACCACCACCTGGCTCAAAGTTTGAGCATTGCCGGGCATTGGTGGTGCACGCCTTTAATCCCAGCACTCGGGAGGCAGAGGCAGGAGGATCTCTGTGAGTTCGAGACCAGCCTGGAACTAGCCAGGACAGCCTCCAAAGCCACAAAGAAACTCTGTCTCAGAAAAAAAAAAGTTTGGGCGTTAACCCCGGCTACTGAGTCCTGTGGAGCAGCGGAACCTTCTTGCCTCCCCCGGATGGTTATTCTACTGGCCGTGGTGTTGGCAGAGCCCTAACCTCTTATTGAAAGATCCTTCCCTCTGGACTTTGCTCCAGGCATTGCATCAGGCATTCTGCAGCCATAGGCTTGCCAGCTGTGGCCCTGGCACAAGCGGCTGCCATCCTTAGTGCCCTTGTCTTTTCCCCAGGTCAACTGCTACTTAACCCGCAGACCTGAATGTCATATCACTGTAGCTGTCCTGGCAGGAAGGCAGGAATTAAGGCGTTCTCTTGGCCATCAGACTGTTGAAACAATGGTCCCTTTCAAGCTGGAATTTCCCCAGGAATCTCCTGCTGGGGGGAAGGAAGAGGCTTGAAAAATGTGTGCCCGGCAGAGGAGGAACGTGTCTCCTTGAGAGATATCTCCTACAACTCAACCCTTTTCAGAGAGGGGAGCAGAGAGGATGCTGGGTGAAGCCACACCTTGTCTGCGGATACACACTGCACTTACCTTCTACTTAAGCCTAACCTTCATGTCAGGCCCCCAAAGATGGATTTGGGGGTGCCACTGGGCCTCTCTACTCCTCTTCCCAATGTGGCCCCATTGAATAAATTTCCTTCTGCCTCTCACTAGTATCTGTCGGTTTAATGGTCCTGTCAAGGACTAGTGGCCAAACTTAGCTTGTTAGTGCTGCTAGAGACTGGGTTCTGACCCTCGCAATCTCAGGAACCTCAGCCCCTCTGGGAAGCCCTCCATGGTCTCCCCAGTGCTTTGATACGGCCTTCGGAGGTATGCTGTGTCCAAAGCACACAAGTGCCTACCCTCCTTTAATGCCCTCTTGTGTTTATTTCCTTGTGTCCCTCCTCAAGGTTACCAGTGGCTCCCTCTTGCTGTGGAATGGCAGCTACACTCAGCTCCAAGGACTGTCATTCCCAGGCACAAGGAGAAAGACTATTTCCACAACTGACTTATTGAAACACGCTTTATTTATTTATTTATTGGTTTTTTCGAGACAGGGTTTCTCTGTATTGTTTTGGAGGCTGTCCTGGAACCTGCACTCTGTAGACCAGGCTGGCCTCGAACTCACAGAGATCCTCCTGCCTCAGCCTCCTGAGTGCTGTGGTTAAAGGCGTGCACCACCAACGCCTGGCTCAAGCTTTCTTTTTTTTTCTTTCTTTTTTTTTTTTTTTTGGTTTTACGAGACAGAGTTTCTCTGTATTGTTTTGGAGGCTATCGGTCCAGCCCGGCCTCGAACTCACAGAGATCCGCCTGCCTCTGCCTCCCAAGGAGTGCTGGGATTAAAGGCTTGAGCCACCACCACCCGGCTCAAGCTTTATTTTTAAAAGTGCACAGGCACTGGCCACTTTGCTGGGATTTGAGAGAGAACCACCACGCTAGTTTTTTTTTCTTTTCTTTTTTTTTAAAGATCCTTTTATGGGGGGTAGGGCAGGGGACTCACAAGGTTAATAGAGAAAACAAACAAAACAAAACACAAGTAGGTGCAACTGTGTTTACAGGGGTTAGGTAATTGGTGGTTAGAAAATTACAATGAAATAGCAGGAATTTTGGCCAGGTGGTGATAGTGCACACCTTTATATCCATCACTGGGGAAGCACAGCAGGAGGATCTCTGTGAGTTCGAGGCCAACCTGGTTTACAATGTGAGTTCCTGGACAGCCAGGGCTGTTACACAGAGAAACCCGGTCTTGGGGAAAAAAACAAACAAGAAAGAATTCCATACAATGAAAAAGCTAGAATGTACATCTTGTAGGCGGGAGTGTCATACTTGATGGGGTTGGTAGTCAGTTCAGTGTAGGTTCAAGAGCACATTTTGCAAGACACCTGGGTTAGGCAACAAACTTACTTTATTTATCCCCCCCTCCCCCACCTAACACCAGGGTTCCAGGGTTAGGCAACAAACTTAATCATATATACCCTCCCCCCAGAAACTAATCCTATGAGGTGTGGTACTGAACAACAATGTCACTCCTGTTCCAAAGCGAAGCCATCAAGGCTCCTCAGAAAGCCCCAAACAAAGAGTGAGCCACCGGGCTCTATCTAAGATCCTGGGAAGTCTGAATTCTTTCTGTTGTTCTTGTTTGTTTTTGGAGATAGGGCCTCTCTACACAGTCCCGGCTGTCCTGGAATTTACCATGAAAACCAGGCTGGCCTCGAACTCAGAGATGCACCTGCCTCTGAGGCGCCCCCTCCCCCAGTGCTGCTGGGGTTAAGGAGTCTGCCACCATGCCTGTGTCGGTTCTATTGCATTCCAAAGACACTGTAGCTGTTAGGTTTACTAAGCTCCCCCCCCCCCCATCTTTCTGCAGCTAGCTTCCAGCCTATATTTTAAAAACTTGTAGCAATTTGGCAACCGCGAATTCACATCGTGAACAAAGTAAATTTTCTGAAATGCCAAAATTCACTCGAATCAGTGTGTGGTTTGCTTAATAAATCCGAAATTCTGGCGGGGAAAAAAAGAGAGAGGCAGCTATGGCAACTTACCAAGGGTGTGAAGGTTCAGCGTCTTTCAAGTCAGTATTTCTCAGACTTTATTCCAGTCTTTTTTTGTTTGTTTGTTTGTTTGTTTTGAGAGCTAACCCACGTCCAGTTACAAAGTAGTTGTGGACATAATTATGTACTAAATTATTTTTGCAACCCCGAGGCTGGAACTCATAGTTTCTCGCATGCTAAGACAACGCTCTGCCACAGAGGGAAGCCCCAGCCCGTAATGATCCCAGAGAGACAATTATCTCTAATGTCACGAAGAAAAGAAACAAACACGGCGCTTTTCCAATTCCTCCCACAATAATAGGACGTTTTATCTCCGCTCAAGGACCTGCGTGTTTGGCATCTCTGGGGATACATGGAACCCAGGTTTAAACTCTACAACCGAGAATGTGGTAGGTATGCATGCCTTTGTGAAGCTAACCAATCTTATTTGACACGTACTCAAATTTCAGCAGAGCCCGTTTTATGTCTTCTTGTTCCAAGTCTGAAATAAAACTTTCACATGGACTTTTAATCTCACTTATCCGGGATTCTCAGCTATCACCGTGGTCAGAGGCTAAACCTTGGATGCGAGCCTTCAAGACAAAACACCAGCTGGAAGGAAGTAGCTCCCCCACCCCCAGACCCTTCCCCAATCCTTTGAGCTCTCTCAATGCTGTGTGTTGTTGTCTTACATAGACCTCCCGGCGGCAATTGTTTCTTCAAAGCTTCAGTCATTATTAAAAAATGCTACCGAAGCACAGTGAGGATGCCCTTGACACACATCTTATTTTCTGGGAAAAAGACTGCTACCAGAGTAATTGAGCTGGGAAGCTGAGACAAATTGCTCTCAGCGGGTTCCGCAGTGGCTCAGAGTACCGCAGTTGACTGGAATCCTGCACACCGCGGCTTTTCCCTTCCTCCCGTTTGCAAGGTAACTACAGTCCCTAGCACAGCACCCGCCGACTATCTGCAAGCCAGACCCAAGGCAAACAGAGCTGGAATGACGCTGAACCCCCAAGCAAAGTCGCACCCATTGCCCGGAGCAGGAGGAAAACCTCCAGGAGCGCATCTGAGGGTCCAGCAACCACGCATGTAAAAGAGATGCTCAACGCTCCCCCCCCCCTCCTTCCCCGGCCGGCGCCCGCAGCTGGCTGGAGCCGGCGGTGACATCACGAGCCCCGGCAGGCCACGTGACCCAGGCCTCGCCTCCCCCGCCCCCTCGCGTCGCCGCGGTCTTGGAGCTCAGTGTCCCGCCGCAGCCACCACTCGGAGCTCCCGGGGCAGCGCGGAGCCAAGGGCTGGGCGAGCGGGCAGGCCCGGCGAGCTCGCAGGCAGGGCGAGCGGAGCGGTCAAGGAGAGAGACCAGAACAGCCCCGACCGGGCCAGCGGGGCCGGGACCGAAGGCTTCGGACGCCGTCTCTTGCAAACTTGGGCGCGCGCCGGAGCCATGAAGATGGTCGCGCCCTGGACGCGGTTCTACTCGCACAGCTGCTGCCTGTGCTGCCATGTCCGCACCGGCACCATCCTGCTGGGCGTCTGGTACCTGGTGAGCGCGGCCGGGCGACGAGGGGGCCAGCCCGCGCGCCCTGCACCCAAGGGGGCCACCCCGGCGCCGTGCACCCAAGTCTCTCCCCAGCTCGGTCTCGGCCGGTGGGGGGGGGCGGCCGCCCGGGATCATCCGCCTAAAGTTGTATTATTAGAAAGTTAAATCCTGGGGAGAGGCGAGCCGCGGTGGCTGAGCCGGGGAGGGGGCCGGGGGGGGCTCCTGCGGGGTGCACTGCGAGTGTGCCCACTGCCGTGAGTTCGCGTTCGAGCAGGAGCGGTTGGGGAGCGCTTTTTTCCCCCAGCACACGCTTGTCTTACTTTATTTACATCGGGAAGGCATGTTACACCCACTCAGATGGACAGGTGATCCCTCTAAACCGGCAGGGCGGGCAGATGCCAGTTTTTTTTTTTTTAAAGGTCTCATTTGTGTAGAGTCCAAGCGGTGGTTCTCTTGGGCAGCTAGCTGGGGAGCGTGATGATGGAAGGATATTTTCCCTGTGGCGCTGCCCTTGGTTGGTGGTTGGCAGCCCTGGACTGCACCAACCAGCCTTGGAGTCGATTCCTCGGCATTTTGCATTTTGCGACATCATTTTTTTGGGGGGCGAGTTAGATCCGAGCCACTTGGCAGTGACTGTAACGCTGCATGACTGTAGCTACCTCTTAAAACGTGGTAGTTAAGTGGCATATATATATACATATATTAGCATATATTAGCGAGGATCCATCCTTATCTCCTTCAGCACCAGCCGTTTTGTTTCCCCCTCATGGTGGCTCATGTTTAATATTTGGTAGTTTTAAAAATGTACAGTATATCGAGTTGTCAACTACTTAGTGTCTTTTTTTTTTTCATAAGCAAAGCTTTTCCCTCCCATGCGATGCTATTGTGTTATTTATAGTCTCAAGTTTCCTTTAGTTGGGCTCACTATGGCCACATAATAGAAATTTTTAGCCTTAAAAGCTTTCCAGCAGTCCGTTGATACATGTGGGTTCTGGCTGTGCAGTGTGAACCTGAGTGCATTGGCTCAGCCCTGCCTTTTCCCGAAGCCGAGGAATTTTACAGACATTTACAGTCCTAAGTTGGAGTATAGAGTAAGCGATCTCCAGGATGGCCAGGGCAGACAGCCGTTTGCAGATGTCTGTGTCTTCCTTGGTAAGCGTTCGAATGTGCAGGCTTGCAAGTGCTTGGTCGGATGTCATTTGTAAAATCTAGGCCATTGCATTAGGCAAATGTACTCCATGATCTACAGGGCAGATAAATCTACTTGAGCTCTGTTGTTGGCAGTCGTCCAGTATTGGTGATAAAAGCTGAGTTCTCTGCAGGCTTCCTCTCCTCTAGGAGCCTGCCCCTTTGTGGGGTATATGCGTTTGGAAATGAGGCCTTTTGTAAGATAGCTTCCACGTAGACGGGAAACCAGGTTCAGCTCTCACTATGTTTATTATATATTATATTATTATTTCACAACACGATTGAAAATTTCTCCAGTGGTTGACTTCCCTTATAGCTTTAAATATAATCTGGTTATCTAAAACCTTAATTTCCATTTTAAAAGGCTAAGCTGGTTAGGGTCTAAGACCTGAGGGAAGACTGGGCACCCCTCGTTCCCCGAACAACCCCCCCCCCCTCTAGTCACTTGGTCAGGTGTCAGGAGTGTTTTCTGGAAAAGGGTACTCCTGGATAGGTGCTCAGGTAAGAGTCCTCTGTAGACTGAGCCAAATAAAGTGGTTGCTTACTTCGTGTTTTCTAATTAATGTTTCTCACCCTGCTGTTTACTGACTAGGTCCTGCATGCTACGTACTGGGCTAGTTAAGCGGAATTTAGATATCGCTAGTGAAAAAAACGGAAGTTAAGAGTGCGATTTTTTTTTTTCTTCTTTTCCACCTGGTCCCATTCAGGCTGTCACCGCTGGGGAGCAGGCCACTTTGCAGACAGATTTTTAATTGTGTATGTTTGTATTATGTTCCTTTCCCTTAGCATAACTTTTAGCTTCCATCCTGTTATAATGTGTGAATGGCTTCTTTTTGTTACTGAACATTATTCTAGGAATATGCCACACCTTATTGGTTTGCTAAGAATTGAGCAGTTTATAGTTTAGGGTTATTTGTGTGTGTGTGTGTGTGTGTGTATTTAGCTGCTTTGAATTTGTTTTTTCGAGACAGGGTTTCTCTGCATACCAGGCTGGCCTGTAACTCACAGAGATCCACCTGCCTCTGCCTCCGGAGTGCTGGGATTAAAGGCATGTGCCACCACCACCACCACCACCCAGCTTGCTTTGAACATCCTCAAACAAGGTTTTGCGTTTAGACTTATGTTCGCATTTGCATTGGGTAGATACTATTGAGTGGAACCATTGCTTCCTGGGTGAAGTATATTCGGCTTACCCAGTGCTAGCCAGTTGTCCGAAGTGGCCGGTTCAGTTTGTTCTGTTAACTACAGGTAAATGAAGCAGTGGTTGTCTCATGTTCACCTGTGTTTGGTGCTGTCAGTCACTAGCTTGATTTGCATTTCCCTCACGAAGAATTTTGGACTTTGGTTATGAACCGATTTTGTGTCCTAAAATTTTTACTGGTCTGTCTCATCAGTTTGTAGGAACTTTACGTACTTGGACACCAGTTCTTAAATACGTATTTGTGACTGTAACCTCTCACACTGTGGTTTGCATACTCTTTTGACTCCCTCCCTCCATTTACTTATTTATCTGGGGGGGTGCATAGAATCACACACAAACACACACACACACACACACACGTATAATTAAAATAAGTTCAGGCTGGAGAGATAACTCAGCTGTAAACCGCAGATGGCTGATGTCCTTTTGTCTGGCCATGGCGCTGTGGGTGCTTGGGTGTGCAGGTAAGGGTGGGGAGGGTAGCACTCACCTCGGGGGCCCGAGCCAGGCGGCCACCAGCCACAGAGGCATGGGCTTCCAATCCACTCAGCTGACACCAGATAAAGATGATAGTCAATGCTATAGGGACTACAATATATTTATTTACCAGAGAGAGAGAGTCACACAAGCTAGGAGTTAGAAGTGTGGCCAGCTTCCAAAAGAGGAGGTCCTATTTCCTTTTGCTTCCTTTTATCTCTACCTGTGCTAATTTACTTGTCCCCGCCCTCATGGGCGGATAGCTTTGTGGGGTTCACTCCTACAGTAGAGGACCTGGGTTCAGTTCCCAGTATCCATGTGGTTGCTCACAACCGTCTGTGTGACTCCAGTTCCAGTTACACACATGAAATAAACCTTAATTTTTTCCATTTTTTTTTTTGTAAAGTAAAACCAAACTTTCAATGCTTAAAATTTCTCTTTGCACCTGGTGGCGGCGGCCGTGGCAGCGGTAGCTGCATCTGCACACGCCTTTAATCCCAGTGCTTGGGAGGTAGAAGCAGGTGGATCTCTTTGAGTTCGCGACCAGCCTGCCTGTCTACACAATAAATCCCAGGACAGTCAGGACTACAGAGAAACCCTGTCTTGAAAAACAAACTAAAATAAGTTTTAAAATATATATATTTATGCATTCTGGTGTGTGCAAGTTTTAAAATATATATTTATGCATTCTGGTGTGTGCGCATGTGCACCATGCAGGGGGTGTGTAATTGAGAGGACAGCTCTGGCACCATTCTCTCCTGCTACTCAGGAGGCAGCAAGGGCCTCTACCTTGCTGACAAGCTGACTTTGCTTTTGAGCACAGGGTCAGACAGCAGTCCCTTCTCTAGAGTGCTACAGTGAGCAGCGGTTGGTTTATCGAGCCGTCTGAATCAGGAGTGTTTGGGGGAACTCACTGTTATCTCTCTCAGGGTCACAAACTGACCAGCTTCAGTTGGGCGAAGTGAGGTTCAGCACCAGGGACTCCGTCTTGATTTTTAACCTGGTCTGTTGTGGCCTAGGGTAGGAATTTGATCCCAAACAATGCCTTGCTATAGATTTTTTTCAGGTTTATTTATTTATTTATTTATTGCATATACAGTGTTCTGCTTATATACCAGAAGAGGACACCAGACTGAATTGCAGATGGTCGTGAGCCACCAGGTGGTTGCTGGGAATTGAACGCAGGACTTCTGGAGGAGCAGTCAGTGCTCTTAACCTCTGAGCCACCTCTCCAGCCTTGCTGTAGATTTTTTTAATAGTGTGAATTTAGTTTTAAGCTGTTAGTGAGAATACAGTTTAATTTTTAGAACTGTGGGCCACCAAGATTACATGGCCAGTTGGTTCCACAGTGGCTTTTGGAGTGGAATCAGTGTCTGAGACCATCACAATGGAGGGCTCAGGACTGGCAAAAATGGAGGTGCTAAGGACAGGAGAGAAAGGAGCCTTGATAATCCCACCGATTGAGAATAAGACCGCTACCACAGCTTAAAGCCAAATTTGAAGCAGGCTTTAATAAAATACTGGTCAGGTGGATGGGTTCTGACCAGGTCCGTACTCAGGTTCCTGGGAAATGCCCGGGAATCAAGTATGGCAAGGGGCTTAAGAAGGAAAACCCATAATTCATTGCATTTCCCATCACGTCCAATCAGGGGCAAGCATACATCCTGACGTAGTTCCTGCCTAGATACATACCTCCCGCCCACATGTGACCAAGCACATCCGGTGCAGATGGGTCAAACAAACTTGTTTGGGGCAGTTCTGGGGATTGAGCTCGGGTTGTCAGGCCTGGCAGCAGACTTACCCACTGGGCCACCTTGCTATGTGCAGACCCCCACCGCCCGCCCCCACCCCTAAAAAGAATGGAGCCCGGCAGTGGCATACATAGCTCTAATCCCAGCACTCTAGAGACAGAGGAGCGCAGGCAAGCAAGCAGGTGGATCTCTGAATTCCGAGTCCAGCCAAGGCTGTTACACTGTGAAATCCTGTCTCAAAAAGGAGCTGGGGCGTTTGCTCGTCTGTGTCTGCTGCTGCTGGAGACTGTTTGAGTTCCCTTCTCAAGCACTTACGTTGAGCAGTTTTACATTATCGGGGAACTCCAACTCCGGGCACCTTTATACTCAGGGGCGCTTTACCTAAG